CTTCACGGCGGGTGGGGGGGGGCAGCCCGGTGCGGAGGAAGGTTGGGGAGATGCGGCGTGGAAAGAGGGAATCGTAGCGTATTACCAGTGCCTGTTTGCTTTCTGAGTTATTTTTGGAAATTGCTTTGCTGTGAGGGATTTTTTTTTTTTTCTTAACTGTCTGCGGGAAGGCGTATTTACGTTGTGCTCCTCTGGGTGTTGATGCTTTCCATTGGCCCAGGGGGGCTGTAAAACCAAGCGTTTTGGCAAACGCCGGTCCCACCGGTTGGTTGTTCTTTCCTATTCCTAATGGCAACACCATAAAAACATGTAATCTGCATCTTTTTTTTTTTTTTATCTTGCCCTGTGAGATTTGGCTGCTGGCTGGTCGGAGCCTTTTCTGGGGAAGGGCTGCCTCTCCCCGAGGAGGGAGCGCGGGGCCTGGCGTGTTCGTGGGGCGCTTTGTGTAACGCGGGGTGACAGCTCTGACGCAAGTGCCCCCAAACTTCTAAACATCAGCTCAGTCTTGGTTGTGTTTGGGCAGTTTGTTCCCCCCCACCACCTTTCCAGGAAAATCATATTGCATAGGCTGGAAGACAAACCTGGTGGCTTCCTGGGCTCTCCTGCAGCCGTGGGGTGGGACGGGGAAGGGGAGTCGGAGGCAGAAGCAGAGCGGTGTTGAACACAGGTCCGTTAACGGGACTGGGGAGCCCTGGCCCAGCACCCTGAGCTGCCTGGTGCTGTAGAAAATTGGGCATCACTGGGCATAGAGTGGTTGTGTCTCCTGTCTGGTGACTCAGAGCATTGCTCTTGTTTACACTCATTGCTTTGCTTCTGCCGGCATTATAGCAGGCATCTGCCTACTTTGTCCATGCCCGACTCCAACCCAGGGCATGGGAATGAATTTCAGTAAGGTTGGTGGTTTCCAAACCGCCCAGACTAAAGCAGGAGGACCCAATTCTGCTGTTGAGATGCAGTGATGGGCCACCACTTACCCCTGGGTGAACTGGAACCCCTTCGTTGTTCTTCAGGTCATGCACGTGATGTTTGTGCCGGCGTCTTCAACGAGCAGTGATTTGTTGGCAGGTGGAGCTGCCAAAATGGATACGGCTCTCGCTCCTCCTTCTCAACACCTTGTAGCCTGGCTCAGTGGTGACTCTGTAACAGGTCCTGGTGTCCTTGTGTGGCTTCACAATGTGGGGAGGAAAAAAGAAAAAAAAAAAAAAAGGTTAATGTTGAAGAAACTTGAAAACTCTTTAAAATTTTTAAATCTTTAAAAATATTAATTGTGAATTAAACATTTTATACTGTTAGATGTTGAAGAGAAACTAGCTAATGTGAGGCACACTAAACCAAATATAATTCGGAATGATCCCTTTTAGGGTTAATTGATTTTGTAGTGCGGTCCCTTATAGGGTCAATTGACTTTGTAGTGCTCTGCAGAGAGCTGGAGATGGGACTGAGTAAGTACCGTTTGTGGCCTCCTGGTGCTTGTCCAATATGTTGCAGAGCAGTTTGTGAAGTTTCCAGTAAGTTTGCTTAATGTGGCCTTACTCAGTTGGGAGGCACTCCCATAATTATGGCTGCAATTAAAAGCAATAACATCCATTTACATAAGGTCCCGGTCCTTTTAAATCGGCGCATCATCTAATGAGGGCATTCGTGTAGGGATAGTTATGCAGGACGAGGACACAAATCTGAGAACGTTTCAGGGAGGATTTTGTTTCAGAACTTTTCTGAGGTCATTTGAAGGAAGGGTCTGCTTTGAAATAGAACATTTTGTTACGAAAAAGTAGTAAGTTATTAATATAACCTCTACCAGCAGTAGGATGTAGCTGAGTTAAGTGCTTTTAACACTATTTTTTTATGTATCACCCATCTCATTTAAAAAAATCAGCCTGGTTACACCAGTATTTTTCTCAATTTGATTGCGTCAATGTTCCTTCTGCTCTTATGAGTAAGAGATTTGGTAAAACCAACTTGTGGGTGATATCTAATCGCTGATGAAGCACTACGGATGTGTTCTAAATTGCTCACTGAAGTTGCATGGTTTCCTTGGGGCTTAAACTGTGCAGGTAATGTCCACAGACTTTTCTGTGAGATGAATGTAAACATTAGACTTTAAATGCTGGAGAACATCATACCTTTGGGGGGCGTTTCAGCTTTCTTCTGAAGGAAGCAACCTGGTGAAGTACCCTCACCTTCTCACTCTGTGTGATTTTTTGGGGGGGGTTTTTTGTTGGTTTGTTGGATATTTTTTAAATTTACTGAAGAGACTGTAAGCTTGTGTCCCCACACCCTGGGTGGGGCAGGTCCTTGGGAAGAGTCATAAGGCAAATGTAGCAGAAAGGCTAAAAATTCCCAAAATACAAGGCACCAGTCACGGGTCTGAGAAGTGCTGAGTTTCTTGGGTCTGCTCTGGTTTTCCCTAGAAGCTGTTTTTTTCCCATTTTAAGTCAAATAATTAGTCTGTTAACCTTTTGTCGCAGACGTAGCACTTGGCTTGCGGTCTCTGAGAGCGTGAGAGGTTAAGTAATTAAATTGTATAAGGGAGTAAAAGGGAATAATGAACTCTAAACTCACTAGGCTGTCTAGTTGGGCTCTCCAACGGCTAAAATGGAGTCATTTAAGTTGATTCCTGGTTTTACTTGACTTTAATCAGGTGCTTAATATGGAGATATGGGAAAGAGTCCCCCAGTGCTTCACACAGGTTGTTATTTTCAGAGGTGGTGGGTTTATTTCAGGTATGATTTGGTTGTGCAGAGGGGTGGTTTCAGGGGGGGAGCACTGGCCTGGCCGACTCCTGACAGGACACTACGTGGGGCCAGACTGGCTAATAACCAGGCTTGGTTATTCTTGGGTGCCTGCCAAAACCTGACCCTAAATATTGTAATCGCATGCTAATTATGAATGCTAATCTCCAGATGTACTTAACGTATTACCAGGTGAAGAACTGACCTTGTAGCTGTCAGGTGGTTGCAGGGGGCAATGTGGCTGCTTTAAGTAAAATCACTGCAACGTGGTGGGGCTGTGAATTTGTGTCCGTGCAAAGAGAGGCAATATTTGTGGTTTTGCATGAAGTGTGTTTATTTACCCGCACAATGCAGTTGTGAGTGCCTTTGAGGTTGTGTTTTGACCATGTCAGACAAACCCATCTCTCATTGGAGAAGCTGGGGAATGGGGGGCTCTTGGCATCTGCAGTGTTTGAAGATCTGAAGCGATGCACCAGAATTAACCCTGAAGTCTTTAAGCTGCCGTGGCGGGTCCTGAATGCAAATGATGAGTCTCATAATTGCAACTGACTTTTACCCATGTGATGGATAATAGGGATGTTTTGTAATGTTTTATTAATAAAATGGGATGGATTTGTCATGAGGGCCCTTGTGGAAATAATGTGCCTGTTCCAGCTTTAAATTTGCGTGTGTGGGTATAACACACATAGCACAGCTGGTTACTTAGATATCTGAAATGACTGTGTGGCATTAGTTTCCAGATGATTCAGTACGTTACTATCTTGTTTACAGGCCATGCACGAGTAGGAAAGGGTAAATCAGAATGGGTTTTAAGTTCTTATTTCCCTTCTTCACTCTGAAGTTGACCACCTAACTTGTTCCCTAATAATTATTTTCCCCGAATGTGAATTTTTTTTTTTCTTTCTGCATAGTGTCAAGTCTTTGTGTCACGGTCTGAGGGGTGGCTTCACGCGTGTTGTGCCTTGGCACTGTGTGATCCAGGCTCCCTGGCAGCTGCTCTCCTCTCAACTAGAGTTACATCTGCTGCGGGGTTGGGAGGTAGCCCATTGGGTGATACCGTGACTTCTCCCTGCTATTTCTGCCTCGCTCCGAAAAGCCACTTGGGGTGTTGCATCTTTTGAAGGGGGTTTGCACGTGAGTGATTCCTCCATCTGCAGGCACCGATGTGTTCTGTGGGTTGGGTTAGTCCCCGCTGGAACTGCAGAGGCTTGATTGGATCCTGCGTGTGTTTTGGGTGCAGAAATGGGAAGGTCTCCCTTAAGCCGCAAGAAATCCTCACGACTGGATTATGTACAGTTTGCCAGCGGGTAGTTCAAATCAAGTGATGCAATGGACAAAATATTTGTGGTGGTTTATGGTTAAAAGCTTCCATATGACACTACGCACACCCCTCTGGACGTAAAACAATCAGGGAGCACAACACGAGTTGTTTTGATGTGTCTGAAACTGCTTCTGACAATTATCACTGCCACAGCAATATTTGGATTTAAGGCTGGCTTTGTCTTCCTGTTTTCTTTTATGATCCCTGGAAATCTAATTGATGTTGTCAGTTAATAACAAGCAACATTTGTTATTCATGGGAACCCTATAGATATTCTTAAGCATAGAGCTCTGCAACGTTTACCTTCTGCATTAAGGAGGGGAAAAAAATAGAAGAGCTTTGTAGTTTTCCTGTTACCAGAGTAAAACCAGTTTCCGCAAAACAATGGGGAGATTTCAGGGGTTCATGACCTCTTGCAATTAAAAAATTTCAGATGGCTTGTGAGAGGCAGATGGATGGGGTGAAGGAGGAGGGGGGAAAAAGGCAGACCTTGCTGTGGAGGAAACAAGCACTCCTGTTACAGCTGAAGTCATTACTCATAGTTTGTAGAAGATTGATTTAGCTGCTTTTTAAATTATTTTTTTTTATTCTGAGAATTGCTTTGTTTGGGAATTAGAATACAGGAACTTAAAACTCAAGCAGTTCTGTAAGAGATGTTGTTCTGGTTAAACCACAACAGATGTTTGCCATGGATTTAGGTCTTGGGGTTGCAATTGCCTTTTCTTCCCCAGGTGGGGTCAGTTCCAAGGATTTGAGCTCATCTGGTGGCAATCTCATGTCGGATGGGAGAGGCTGAAGCTCTTTGTGTAGTGGGAGCAGTGGAAAGGCAGCTCTTCTCTCTTGATAGCTGGATTTCACTGAAATGTGAGAGACCGATGTTTTTGAGGCCTCTGTCCCATGTTGAATAAGGTTCAAATCAGTCTGTCCTTGGTGGTGAGGGGAGACCCGAGGAGGACATGGACCAACCCACCTGCGGTGGCCAGAGCCACCGAGCCTGGGACAGCTGGTGTTTCACTGGAGGTGATGAGTGTAAGGGCTGGTGGCCTTATTTGCTTTTGATTCTTTTTGCTTGTTTGTTTATTTTTCATCTTTATATCCTGTATATGTTTTGCTTTCAATTTATATTCAAGTGTTTGAATGTGTATTTACACGTTCTGGTGCCAAAAACTCTCTCATGCACTGTATGTGATGGAGTGTGGCCTTCTGTACACCTCAATCTTGTTTTATAATTTATTTTCTCTACGGAGATGTGCTGAAACAAAGTTATTTTAAGGAATATAAAGAGAATTCAGGGGTTTTGTTTGAAAAAAAACACAAAAGAATGTTTCTTTGCTAATATGTTGCTGGTGACTCTTACTCAGTAAACGTTTCCCCTTGCCAGAGCTTTTATTTGTAGCATTTGTGGTGTTTAGCCTGTGTGCACTCCATAAATTACATTATTTTGGCTGTTGTAATTTTATTATCCTTATTAAGCTTTCTCATCTACATATTGATCCTGTTATTCTCAGGGAGCTGATAAGCCATCTAGCTGTACTTGCAAAATACATAGAAAATGAGAAATCTGCCCTGGAGGCTATGAAGACTGAGATTCACCAGTGATTTGGATCTCTGTACGTCTGGCCTGTATTTTTTTTTTTCCCCTTCAGTGCTAGTTTTTTAGACTACATGACAGCTTTGCAGTTTGCCAAATTAAGATTAATTTTGCTTTTATTATAAATTCAATCATCAATAGCTTCTGAGAAGCTTTGCTCTTGTTTGCTTGTCTTTTTATTTAGATGAATACGTTCCTTTTTCATAAAGCTTAAGAATATTTCCAGAGGCAGCTGGCGTCACATATGCTGTGAGGTTTTTTTCCTCCTTGTGTCAGTGTCAGCTTTCCATGCTGGCTTTTCAGAGGGATTTGTTCTTTACTTTCAAAAACCTCCTTTCCCTTCCCCGTTGCCTACAAGACACGCATGAAACCCAGGATAACTGTAGGTGCCTGTAGAGGACTGTGGG